TATCTATCGATCTATCGATCTATCGATCTATCGATCTATCGATCTATCTATCTATCGATCTATCTATGTATCTATCTATCTCTCTATCTCTCTATCTATCTATCTATCTATCTATCTATCTATCTATCTCCCTATCTATCCATCTATCTATCTATCTATCTATCTGTCTATCTATCTATCGATCTATCTATCTATACCTGTTTATATTTATGTATCTTTATCTGTTCATATCTATCTATCTATTTATCTATCTATCTATCTATCTATCTATCTATCTACGTATAGTCTAGATGGCTGAAGAGAGCGGGAGAAAGAAGGAGGTAGATACATATGTGAAGGATACATCGGATAGTGGCTAATTTAATCAACAGGCATACACATGTGCACATGCTCATGTGCCTGTGCATTCCTCACAGTCACTGTCGTAGCCTGTCGTCACGGACTGCATGCTTTCGCAGCGCCATGTTCTGCCTGACATGGTGCACTTGTAATCGTGGCCCAGTATTTGCAGGCATCTACTTTCTTGAGTCTTACTGTACTTGACAGATTCATTCTTAGTACATCAACATGGTATGTGATGCTCTGTACGTTGGGGGCAAGCGACCATTTTGCATGTTCTGGTGCAGCGGATTGATACCTTCACCGAGCGTGGCAGACCCCGAGAACCCCAAGAGAATGGTAGTGATCATGAGAGTAGCATTGGCACTTGCCGCCATAGCCGATACATGAGTGCATCCAGTCTGAACTTGTCCTCGTGTTCTTTTTCCTGTGAGAGCCTGCCTCGCGTCGGCTGGACTTGAATGGCACAAGGATCCGTTGCCCTGCGACTAGAAAAAAAACGGGAGAACAGGATGACCGCAATCGTATCCAAGCTTGTGGGGCAAGCTTTTGCAACCAACTCATGGCCCTAATAAACCCTATACCTATATAAACCCTAAAGGAATTAAATAACTGAAAGCCGGACCCAGGCCCCAAACCCGGCACTTTCCTTTGGTTTACCTGCAGGACACGTCTGTCTGGTGCTTAGTAGGGAATGGGGGAATGGATCCCTATGATAGTCCCCTAAGGTCCCTTATAGTATTCCCTAGAACCCATTCCCCCATTCCCTACTAAGCACCAGACAGACGTACCTGTGCCATAGCATCGGAAGGACCCAGCCTCCTGCACACTGGGACCCGAAGTCGAACTTGTGCATAATGGAGGGTCTCAATAGGGTTCCTTTCAAGGGTCCCTTAAAAGGGATACTATGAGGGTTCTGTAATATGGGGACCTTAGTAGTTAGAATAGAGGTTTTGGGGCCCACTATACTGACATCGTAATGAGGAGATCCCAAAATAGTATTGGTAAGTACTTAGGCCCCTACATTGCCCACCCGGTGGTGTTGTAATGACCCTTAGCAGTGCCCCAGCAGCCACTGGTAGTATGCAGTATGCATCTATTTTCCTACGCATCAGAAGACTTAGCTCTGCCGAAGCATTAGGAGCGGTGGTGGTGAATTTGGAAACAAAGCAGAGCTACAGCTGATTACGAAATTTGCTTCGATTGTAAACCCTAAACCCTAAACCCTAAACCCTGGTGTTCCTTTCGAGTTTTCATTGATTGAATCAGGCTTCGGAGGCCACGTCGGTGCCGCAGCCGTGCTGTCACTGGGCTCTATCAGGTCTGCCTGAAACCCGGGGCTCTTTTTTTAGGGGCTTCTAAGGCTTCTACTGGAGATAACTGATTCCTAAACCCTAAACCCGTTTGGGACTTCACGGAGTCTCCCCTGGGCTTAAACCCCAAACCCCTACACTGCCCTAAATCCTAAGCCCTTAACCCCAAACCCTAAGCCCTGAAACCCTAATTCTAAACCCCAAACCCTAAGCCCTGAAACCCTAACCCTAAACCCGAAGCCCTTAAACCCTAAACCCAAACCCGAAAAGCTGTAAAGCTAGGCTTCCGTTGCTGACTCTTTGCTGGAGGCTCTTGTCACAAGCCGTCGACCCCCCAACTCCGCAAGGCCTGGAGCCGACACCCCAAAACCCGGAAACCCAAAAGGCTTTAATATTATAGGGGCCTGAAGAATGACCTATAGACTATCTTGGGGAAGTTTTTTGTATGATAGTTGTAGTATAATATACGCCAAAGCCCTATTCTAGTTAGAATGGCCCCTAAACCCTAAACTCTTCTAGTAGGCCTTATAGAACCCTTTTTCAGGGTTCCTTTATCATGGCCCCTGTATGAAGGTTTAGGGCCCGAAGATCAGCCAAGGCTGGAATCGAAGGCGGACGGCAACGTGAAAGCCGAGGCCGGCCCTTGAAGTTTTGAGCTTTGGAGTACCATACTTTATTAGGGTTTAGGGTTTAGGGTTTGGGATTTAGGGTTTAGGGTTTAGGGTTTAGGGTTTAGGGGTTTAGGGGTTTAGGGGTTTAGGGTTTTGGGGACCTGCCTATAGTCTCCATTGTAGTTCCTTTTTTGGTTTAACCAGTTATAGATCAAGGATTTTATAATGTATCCCCAAAAAGGAACTACAATGGAGACTATAGGTGTTCCTTAAAGGAACCATTATGAAATGAAAGTCTATACTTTTTTCTCCCTGCTTATTCAAAGCCCAGGAAGGGATCCCAAAAGGTGTGCTTTGTAACGGTTATGATAAGAAGGGACCCAAAAGATATACTGTGTAATGTTAGGGTTTAGGGTTTAGGGATTTGGTTCTATATAGCTTTATACAGCGGTTCTATATGGGTTCTATAGAAAGGGTCCAAGTACCTGATAAGAAGGGACCCATAAGATATACTGTGTAATGTTAGGGTTTAGGGTTTAGGGTTTGGGTCATGGGGCGAGAGAAGCCTGCTGCAAAAAGGTTTTGGTCATGTACGGCTCTTTAGGGGTTCTATATAGCTTTATACAGCGGTTCTTTATATGGGTTCCTGATAAGAAAGGGACAGAAGGTATACTGTAATAGCTGTAAGTGTTCTTTATACAACAGTTAAGCATGAGTGTTTTCTCATGTTCGGCATTTACACTTCAGGATGCTCCCCCAAA